CGTGTTTCCCTGAGGATGAGGTCTGTGGGTGGAAGAGCAATTGACAGGTGAACACATGGGCCCGGAGCCCAGTGTGTAGGCTTCTTGTATCTTTAGACCCTTAGGATTGCTTATTTTTTGGAGTGAGTTTCCTGGAAGGGAAAGAGGCATTATAACCTTGAGTAATTTTTGTGTTCTGGAAGCTGCAGGGTTTTTTTAAAAATACAATTTTGAAATTACAATTTTCTTGTCTCCTTTCTACTCATTCGTACTTTTTCTAGTCTGTTACATAATGCTCATATCTTGTTTATATATTTCAGTATACCCAGTTTTAAAAATCTAGGTTTGTCACACTCTATAAAATTTAAAATATTTTATAGTAAAATATTGTATAGTATGTATATGATTAGAACACATGCCCTATTTTCCATTTCATTTGGTTTTGTCCTTACAGATAAGTACTGATTTTTGTATATGTAGTGATTTAATAAGTTTTATCAGTTCTTACAGTTTTCATTCGTATCTTCTGGGATTAATTAGGAAGAACACACAATATTTTCCCCCCTAGATGAATAAAAACAGGTAAGGTTTCTAGATGAATGGAGGAGTGAATGCTTCTTGTTTTAGGATCACAGTTTCAATAGCAAGATTCCCGACCAGGGGTTCCCAAATTTTGCTATATGTCAGAAGCTTTTACACATCCCGATACTTGGGGTAGGTATTAATATTTATAAATTAATATTTACAATTAATATTTCTAAACATCTTGTGATGCTTCCAACTTGAAGCAAAGCCATGAACTATTGCTTTAGAGCAGTATTAACAAACTATGGTCTATAATTCAGATCCTCTCCTTTCATAGGCAGAGTTTTATTAGAGCACACTCACTCTCATTAGTTTACTGTTGTTTGTTGCTTTCATGCTGTAACTGCAGAATTGAGTAGTTGTGAAAAAAGGCCATATGGCTCACAAAACTTAACATATTTAGTCTCTTGCCTTTTTCATAGAAAAGATGTAGGGGAATAGAATTCTCCTGCTGGCTTGTTCATGCAGGATTTTACTACAATGTACTGATTTAGAAGGCTTTGCTTTATTGAGAAAGGAACTCCCCTTTACCTCCTGTCATCCTGTGGCCTTAGTGTGTTGGTATAAACCAGTGTATTGTTTGAACTGTTATAGTTCTCTGTACATTAATTCAAGTACAGTATTTACCAAGCTTCCATTGTGTGTCAGGGGCTGGAGTTAGTTTAGGGGACACCAAGGATATAACAGCATGCATGCATGAAACTTTTCTTCACTGGGTTGGGGTAGGGTGAGAGACAGTAGAAATATTAAAACTAAGTTAGATGGTTTTGTTCATGAACTCTTTGCCTATCCCTATGTCTTCAAGGTTTTTACCTAGTTTCTCTTCCAATAGATTTAGTCTGTTTTAATATTGAGATCTCTGATCCATTTTGACTTGAGTTTGGTGTGTGGTGATAGACTATTTTCAGTATTTGGCAGGTGGCAAGCCAGTTTTTCCAGCACCATTTATTAAAGAGGCTACTGTTCTTCCAGTGAGTTTGTTTGGCCGCTTTATCAAAGATTAGGTGGCTGAGTGTGTTTGTGGTTGTGTCTGTGTCCTCCAGTCTATTCCATTGATCTTCTGGTCTGTTTTTTAGCCAGTACCATGTTGATTTTATTACAGTAGCTTTGTAGTATAATTTCAGGTCAGGGATTGTAATTCCACCTGACTTATCCTTGTTGCCCAGGATTACTTTTGCTATTTTGGGTCTCTTCTGGTTCCAGATGAATTTAAGGAATGTTTTCTGTAGATCTGTGAGGTATGCTAATGGTAGTTTAATGGGAATTGCATTGAATCTGTACAACAATTTTGGTAGTATGGCCATTTTCACAATGTTGGTTCTTCCTATCCATGAGGAAGGAATATTTTTCCATTTATTGAAATTCTCTTCGATCTTATTTTTCAGACTACTGTAGTTTTCATTGAATAAATCTTTTACTTCTTTTGTTAGATTGATTCCTAAATATTTCAATTTCAAACTGCCTGTGAAATACTTCAAAGAATCAACAACTGGGATCTCATCCTACTGAAAAGTTTCTGTACATCTAAAGCAATCACCAGCACAGTAAAAAGAAAACCCACAAACTGGGAAAAAATTTTAGCTGACTGTCCCTCGGACAAAGGACTTCTATCTAGAACATATAAAGAATTAAAAAACATTAGCCCCCCCCCCAAAAAAAAATTCAAAGACCCAATCCGAAAATGGGCAGCTGAGATTTATACACACTTCTCAGATAAAGAAATACAAATGACAAATAAATACATGAGAAAATATTCAACATTAGTCATTTGAAAAATGCAAATTAAAACAACACTGAGATTTCATCTTACCCCAGTAAGAATGGCTATCATTAAGAAATCAACCAATAATAAATGCTGGCGAGACTGTGGAGAAATAGGAACTCTTCTCCACTGCTGGTGGGAATGCAGACTGGTGAAACCACTGTGGAAATCAGTTTGGAGATTCCTCAGCAAACTAGGTCTAGAGGTTCCATTCAACCCAGCTATTCCCCTTCTGGGTATTTTCCCAGAAGCTCTGAAAACATCATATCACAGTGATATATGTGAACCTATGTTCATAGCAGCGCAATTTGTAATTGCCAAACTGTGGAAGCAACCCAAATGTCCGTCCACTGAGGATTGGATAAAAAAATTGTGGTACTTTTATATAATGAAATATTACTCAGCTATAAAGAAAGGTAAACTCGAGGCTTTTATAGCTAAATGGTCACAACTGGAGACCATACTCATAAGTGAAGTAAATCAGACCTGCGTGTGTAAACATCATATTGTCTCACTAGTACAAATCCTGAAAGAGTGAATAAAAACTAGGAGCTATGAAAAACATTGTGAAACATAAGGAAAATGCTCAAAAGTAAAGGGCAAATGGGGTGTGGGAAAAGAGAAGGGAAAGAAGGGGAAATTATGTAAGTAGGTATATACCGGCTAGCTAACATAGTTGTACTACTGTTTTCTATTGCTCTACAGAAAGGAACAGTTAATGGTTACTTGTTTGATCAATCTTGTATGTCTCTATTTGTTTTCATGAGAAACCACTTTGAAGATATCAGTCATACAACAACCACTGTTAATTTCCTACAACTTTGTAACTGTCTTGTTTGTATTGTTCTTATGCTAGTTTGTAAATGGATGTCTGTTTAATGTTTTCCTTATTTTATTTTTTAAAATAAAAAAAAAGCTAACTTGGATGGTAATAAATTACACTGAAGAAAATAAAACATGGAAACACTTGTGAAAAGGTGACATTTGAACAGTTACCCAAAGGTGCTAATTAAATGAGTCATTGGGAGATCCATGGGAAGGGCTGGATTCCAGGCAGCAAGAGTTAACAAGTACAAATGTACCGAGGTGGTGCATGCCCGGTGTGCCCCTGAGAGGGCAGGGAGGCCCTGTGGCAGGGGCAGTGAACACAGGTGTGTGTACAGAGGCAGTGTGGTCCAAGACAGCCTTTGATTATTTAGCGCTCTGTGGGCCATCGCGATGACCGTGGCTTTTACAGAACAAGTAAGATGGGAAACCAGCTGGGTGTTTGTCTCCAGTGGTGCAAGCTCATATACTTAAACAGTATCTTTCTGGCTGCTGTGTTGAGAATAGATTGAAGAAAGCCAAGGACATAGGAGGAGACCTCCTAGGAGGTTAGAGTTCTAACCACTGGATTCGATTGGAACAGGGTGGTAGCAGGGGAGGTAATGGAAAGTGAAGCTCAGACGTTCTCAAAGCAGCGTCTAAGTAGCATCAGTTCCTTTCAAGATCTGAAATTAGGGAACTGTCTTTGCTTTGCAAGTTTTTCTCTTCTTTCGGTGGTTGTTCAATACCATTTTGAATTAGGTACTGTCCTGAAAATGCAATTGTACCTACTTAAGACCCTACTTAATATGCTCAAAACATTCAGATGTTTGGGAAATTCTTAACCATGAATACTGTTTTCAGAGCCACGTTTCTGTTATTACTGTTTTCCCCCTACATGTAGCATTTACACCACACAGGAGCTATGTTATGTTTTTAGCTTTAATTAGGAGACACTAACTTTAACCTTAATCTAATACTGATATCTTTCTCCTATGAGTTTCACTTCATCTATATGTATATAGTCAATACATTTGTGATTATATATGTATATATGAATTTATTGTTCAGAAATCTGTAAATGATCACAAACACAAGCTTATATAAATTCACTGAAGAATAAAAAGTAAAGGAGATGGACTGTCTTATAAGGAAGAATTTCAAAGACAGTACGAAAAAGTTATATAAAATCACTACTTGCAGATGAGTCCTTTATTTGGAAAATAGAAAGTATCAATTGAAAGGCTATTATAAACAATGAGGTGTCTTCGTACACAACAATATATAGAGCTATAGATGTACATATAAACAATCAGAAGATATAATGAAAGAAAGATGCACTTAAAATAGTATGAACAGTAATTGATAAAACAACAAACAGGAATAAATTCCGGCTGTCAGGCCTTAACAAGGAAAGCAACAGTAGCAAGTAGCACACAGTCTTCATCCTAGATGTTCTAAGCCATTTGGTAGGGGTTGGGCCCGGTAGGTCACCTTTAATACTCTTAAAACTCCCACCAAATACTTTCAAATGGTCTCATCAAGTACACATAACTATCAAACACCATCAAATACATAGCTATAAAAATAATAAAAATATTTTATAATTTATATTATTTAGAGAAACATAACTTTTATATTATAGTGTTTGTTTCCATCCTTCTTATACTTTCATTTAATTTAGAAGCTGGTAAGAATGAAGTCTTAGCATTTAAAAAAATATGTAATTCTATAATCATTGGTATTTTATTTTATGATACAGTAATTCTTTAAAAGTAACTAAAAGTCAGTACCCAAACTTCAATTTAAAATACATATTAACATTAACATTTTTTTTTTTTTGTTTGTTTTTTTTTGGTTTTTCTCCGGTACCGGGAACCAAACTCAAGACCTTGCGCTTGGCAGGCAGGTGCTTTTGCCGCTGAGCTAAATCCCCAGCCCCAACATTAACATATTTCTATGTAGCTCTGGAGCATTATTTTCTTATTTTCTTCAAACTGTTTTTGGAGTCCTGTGGGCTTTAAGCCACCGGTTGATCGCACTTTCGTACTTCCTCGGGTCCTTTAGCCAGTCCTGATGCCACCTGAGGTTTGCTATAACATTTGAGTAATTTTGGCCCAGACTTTGTTTCCATAGGACAAACTGCTCTTTATTGTATTGGTGGACAGCAGCAGAAACTTTAGGGTAGTTTATAATGGAACGAAGCTTCTGATCTAAGGAATGAGTAATTTCTGGAAATTTTGTAGCAACATTTGTTAGTTCATCTGGATCTGAGGAAACATCTGAAAAACAAAACGAGAAGCTGTCACAGTAGTCACCTGCTAAATACTTTTAAGAATACCTTTATGATAGATAATATATTAGAATTTATTTTTATTTTCACTTCCGCTTAGTGCAGTATAATAGTGTACGGTCAGTAGTCACACAGTGTTCCAGTTAACAATAGGCTGCCTATACCAGTGGTAGCAAACCTATGGCACGTGTATGCAGCCATATCATTGAAAGCTCTAAAAGGTTCGCCATCACTGGCCTCTACTATGATGGTCCCATAAGATTACTGTGTATCACAGCCTAGTGACATCACAGCCATTTTAATGTGTGCAAGGACACTCGATAATGTTGGCATAATGATGATCTAGATGAATGATACATTTTTAGACTCTATTCCTATCATTAAGTATGATGTATATAGTAAAATAATATATGAAAAGCTTAATATTCCTGTAAGGAATGCTTGGATTATCTTCTTTGCTACCATTATCCTTTTACCTCACTTTATTTTTTTTATCCACTCTTAGATGCCAGAAACAGTCAACCTTTATCATTAATAAGCTGACTTGGAACTACATCACCCCACTTCTGCTGCCTTGCCTCCTTTGACATACAGAGGGAAAAAAATAAGAAAGTATTGTCCCGTCTCAACAGCCCTATACTTTCCAGCTGCAAGAATTCCCTATAAAACAAATCATGTTCCAGCATCTTCACTTAGTCCTAATTTTCTTCATATATTAGCGTTTATGCTTGGAATCCTGAAAGTTACATTCATCCATGCTGTCCACTTGAGCAAATGGCCATGGAAATACAAACTGCTCAGTCACCACCAGTGAGAAAATGATGATAAACACATATCCATACACATTCTTTTTACATATGTATGGACAGACAGAGGATATAATTAGGATGCCAGTCTAACTGGAAAACAGCCTATCAAAAAGGACAGTTAACTTCAGATGGGGAAAAAACACTGGACATTGGGCCCACTTGGGTGCCTTTAGCTAGGAGACCCCTAAGAACATGTATAACTTTGCTAGGTGACTTTAAATGGCATCTCTTTAGGAAAGGGAAGTCTGTGAATAAAACCCCAGAGAAGACAGGAAAGGCTGGCTCCTCCACTGATGCTCTGTCACTTCTGTTTTATGCAGAATACACTGTGAAAAAAAATCTCAAATTTAGCGGAAAGATTTGATTTATGAATTGGGCACCATGTGTAATGAATGAGAGAAGGTATTCTGATGAGCTGGGGGGCAGGGTTTACAAACTGAGAAAAGGCGAAGAATGTAGAAACAGGAACAAAGAGCAGATTGGGGGGGTTCAAAGTTACTTTCTTTGTAATGGTTAAAGCAGAGGGGACTGCCCTGTCCCCTTCTGACTGATACTGTGAATCTCCTGTTCTTTTATGAACAGTTTGAGTACTGGGCAGTTAGCAAGAGTGATTCCATTTTGGTTTGATCAGTTTTGTTGGGCCAATTGCAGGATCTCATCCCCCAAAATGGGCTTCCATAAATTTAACAACGGTCAATGAACAAACAAGAGATGCTTATTACTCATCAGGATGATAATTGAAGGACTTCTTTTTGAAGCTAAGAACCCCTTGCTGTGAGAGGTAAGGAAGTTAGTCAGTTTGGCTGCTTAAGGAATTATTTGGAGTTAATAATATTGACGTTTGTAACTACAAAGAAAACATTTGTAAATAGGAAGGTGAAGTAAACATTGATAATGGCCCTAGAACATATTTTATGTCTACAATGAAGACAAAGGATAAACACTAAATCCAAAACTTCTGTTTAAAAACTAATTCATAGACCAATGAAGCGAGCAGGCATTTTCACAGAGTGAAGGGAGCATGGATTTTGGAGTTGGTCCTATATTGAAGTCTCAGGTCTGTCACACAGCTGCAAGATCTCACAGTTGTCTGAACTTCCCTGACGCTTTTTTTCTGTAACACGAGAGTGGTACACTGTCTTGCAGGGTTGTAGTGAACATTAAATAATTAATGTAGAATGTCAGGCTCCATAAAAGGTGTTAATCTTTCAGAACAGATGAAACCTAGGTATGATGAGAAGGTGCTGACTGCTCATTAGGAAACACAGTAATGACTAATAAAAGATTACTGATCTGGGAAAATGCTCAACTCAGTCATGAGACCTAGATCCAGAGCCTTAGGCATTTTCTCTGATATTCACATGCTGATTTGCAAGGAGGCTGCTCCTCACCCGGCAACCTTTTGGAGCCCATGCCAGAATGAGAAGCTCCAGCTATTTCCTTATTTAACAGTCATTATCAAATCTCTTGAGCAATGCTATGTAGGTCAGCTTATTAGGCATATTGTACTTAAAATTTACCAAACAGTTGCGGCAATACTGAAACACCGTCAGAATAGGCTATGTATTTCCACTGGTTGGTCCGAAGCATATAGGTGGAAGCATTCACATTGCATCCGTGGTATTCACTCAGAATCCAGGGTGGATGGAAGTTTGTAAATTTATGTTTATTCTTAACCTCTTCTGATGATAACGGCAACAAAGAGTATCCACTCAGGTGCTGAGGCAGAGGAATTCCAGCGATGTCTTCATAACAAAAACAACAAAATTTTCTTAAACAATGTATTCATTCATTAGTTAACATTTCTAAATGATACTTATATATTCCCTATCATTAAAGATCACAGGGATCATTTTAAAGGTACCAGCATTTCTTAAACATACCCGGACAATCCTGGATCATACTGATTTAGGGAAAATAATTTAGTTTTTACCTATCAAATACAGACACATAGAGGGGCTATGGATGATGATGCATGCATGTAATAATCCCAGCTGTCTGGAGGCTGAGGCAAGAGGATCACCATGAGTTTAAGGCTACCTTGGGCTATATAGTGAGCTCAGCGCCAGAATGAACTACACAGGAAGAGCCCCTCTCAAAGACCAGACCACACCAAACAAATACAGACAGACAGAATAACAGTATGAAAAGTGTATAATGAAAAAAGAGATTTTATGCAGATTTTGTAGAAATAGTCTGTTTGGGTTAAGATGCTTACCCTGTTAGCCGTGTGACCTGGTGCATGTCACTGACTTCTCCAAACCTCAGTGCTTTGTTTGTCAAGAGGGATCATAATAGTTCTGTATTTCACAGATTCATTTTAGGTTTAACTAAGATAACTATATAAACTTCTAAGAACAGTGCCTGGCATATAAAAGCCCTCACTAAATATCAGTTACTATCATCAGTCTTTTATTTTCTGAATGATTAGGTACTTGCAGTTGTTTCTCGCAGTTTGTTAGATGGGATATTAACAAGACCTTATGTGAGAAAGAGGTTTAGTAATTGTTATGTCTGCAAAACAAGGGTTAAACAGTAAACTAGGTACATTTATTACAGATGTAAAATTATTGCTGATGTGTATTATAAATCTTCAAAAGTGGTACACAGTATATACCATATATCCCAGTTATTTGTCAATAAAGCCTTTTCATTCTTTAGTATCATCTTTAAAGAGACCATTATTTTCTTTTTATTTATTGATTGATTGATTGACTGATACTGTCTTTTTGAGACAGGGTCTTGCTATGCAGTTCAAGCTGGCCTTGAGCTCACTTTGTAGCTCATGCTGGTCTCAAATTTGCAACAATCCTCCTGCCTCAGCCTCCCGAGTGCTGGGATTACAGGCATGTGCCACTACGCCCTGGAAGACTAGTATTTTATAAAACGTACCTGGAGGAATCTTGGCTTCTAAGGTAAAATCATTTATTTTTTTACTATTGAATATAGGCACATAGAATGTAAATATGAGAAATGTCTGACATAAAAAGAGATTGTATTTTTAAAAACGGACAAATTCTGGAATGCAAACTGCCTTTTCTTCTGTTTAAAAATCACCATTAGTCATGGCTGCACAGTGAGGACCACCCATAAGGGGCCTGCAGTTGTGTCCAGCCCTCTTTTCTGCTCTCAATGTCTCATGTTTTAAATATTCCCAATAAAAAATGGTGAACAGACTCTACATTTGCTGCTCGATTTGTGCCAGTTTATGTCCCCAGCATCTGCATCTGAGAAGGCTATTTCCAGTGGAGGATTTTCTAACTCTTCTTAATCTCTGTAAACTCTACATGTGAAATAAAAATGGGATGTTCTGGTTTTAACAGAACAGTTTTATTGACTGCTGAGTATGAACTTTAAGAATCAATATCTTGACCAATTGCATATCTTCTGTTGTGGACTGCTTGCTACAAGTCTTTGGTTCAAGTTGTTAGCAGGGAAGTTCTCTGTCTTACAGATTTCTACGAGCTTCATAGATACTGAGCCTTTGCTATTTACTTATTTATTCTTTGTTATTTGTGGGAAGGTTAATTTTAAATAAGTGATGCTATTAACAGTGTTGTCTCCTGGCTTCAACACAAGGTTTCGTTTCTACTTCATCTCTCGGGAACATCTAGTTAGTAGCTTGGTTCCGTGTTTTACATAAAGACTGAGGCACAGTATCTTTTCCAGCTCCTCTCCCTGCCACCCCCAATCATATAAATACAGCTTTCCCCTTCTGACAATAACAACAGTATTATTATGAAACCCATCACAACTGTGCCAAGCCTTGAAGATAACAGACTAGTTTCCATATTAGAATTGGAAAGACATTTATTTTTTACTTTATAAGCAGGTCTAATCGACATATGATCTAAATGTTATTAAGAAAATATGTTCTTGCAAGGAATGTGACTCAGAAGAAGTCTATTACTGTACCAATAATCTTATGCAAGATAAAGATAAATAAGGATATGCGTAACACTTTGAGTTTCAGAAAACTGAAACTGATGAATTGCAAAAAAAATCCAAAAAATAAAACAACCCCTCCACCCATTATAGACAACTCCTACACCACTGCTAAAGGAGCAGGGGTTGAATGCAAAGGCATTTCTGGGAGTGTTTTATCTTAATTAAAGAAATTCTTCTTATCATGTCATATAAACCAGGGAGTGAGTTTTAGGCAGGTACCCCTCTAAGTGGGTAAAAGAAACTTTCCCTACTTCAACCAGTATTATTATTTCCTATATAATCTGTCAGATAAACATATTATAAAATACATTTATTTACCTACCTAAATACCATATCTAATGTCTTTATCTAAGAAGTACATTATATCTGCAAATTTGTGGAAGACCCTGAACGTTATGATGTACAAAATGGCGAATAATGATAATGGCATCTCAAGACCGTAGAGGACAAAATGTGCATCGTGGCAAATGTAACACAATGCTTAAGTAACAATGATTGACACCATATATATTAGTCAAATAACATATAAGGTGACAAATGGTCTAGGAAGAGAATAAGATTCACTACAGACAGTTTCTAAAAGATAATGCACTTCTTACCCGTTAGAAAGACAAAGAAAATCCGAGCTATCGCTAAGAGATAATGTATACTGAGGGAAACCCTGAGAAAGAGTTATCCCACAGGGGAGGAAGGAAGGAATAAGGGGGTAATTCTGGTGTGGAAATGATCAAAGTATGTTATATGCATGTGCAATATATCATCTGCCCAAATCATCTGCAAATTAAAGCCATTTTCTGTGTAACGAACATGTACCACCACCACTACCACCAAGTCACCCCAGCTCTCTACAATCTTTTACAATACCTTTTGCAGTTCTGTTCACTGTACCTTAAGAAAGTAGGACAAAGTTGAAAAGTCAAGCAAATGCGATGACCCGAAAAGGATATTTTTGGGAATGAGAGTTCTATATGAATAAAAATTAGGGGCAGGAACTCTAAAGAAATGGCAATACTAGATGATAATAGGAGAAACACGGAAATATACATAATTATGTATATGTTTCTTAAACAAAAGCATGGAAAGTAACAGGGATTGCTGAACGGATGGAGCAAGAAGGTGGCTAAGTGTGAGAACTGCTTTGGGATAAAGGGAAACCAGCGACTGATGACTATGCAACTGAAGAGAATAAAAATTCCAAGAACTAGAAAGATCCTCAAATATAAAACATGTGCTGTGAAATGAAAGAGAACAGGAAAGGTCACTGATTTAAATTAACTCTAAAGAAGTTTAGTTAAAGGGACTTTGTATTAGAATGAAAAAGATAAGAACTTTTCTTTCTTTGATTTTAAGATTCATGTATCACATTTTAAAATACTTGAAATTAGAGAAATGTGTTTTTTTAATTCACTGAAATGTACAAATTGATGATAATTTTTCCAATTGTTGATGCCTTAGAACTGAAGCATTACAGTATTTAAATCTAATGAATTCAAACAACTCTAAATTAGACAGAAACAGTTCTGCATAATTTCCTTTCAGTCTGATGATACTGCTATTCTGATATCTTCAACAAAAAAGCTGACTACTCCCAATCTGCATGTTGTTATTCTGGATTGATAGCTATCCTTATAGACATTAAGAAGCTAGTAAAGCGAATAGTATAAAACTACCTAAGGAGTCTGAGGAGAAGTATATTCATAGTATTAGATTAAGGGACTTGTCTAACATTGTACAAAATTAAAAGTTTCACAGTGGGTCGAAGAATTTGGAAAGAAAATGTTTAGATTTTAGGCAGGTGGTGATAGAGAGTCAAGATCTACAAATCATTCATAAAGTTAAGGGCTTGAATGTCTTAACTGACAGTCATATCCTGATTGCAAATCTGAAGGGTAAATGACTAAAAGTGAGTGACGGCCACAGAAACCTTAGGAATAGTATCTTCCTTTCTCAGAGTATAAATGTGATTCAGTTAAATGAGTTGCTCAGGGTTAAAGCAAGTCAGTGGGACTATAGATTACTTTGCCTGTTCATTTCCCAGCATTATTACAAATAAATACAGACTCACTTTACTTACCAAGCATAGTAGGGTAAATATCCACAAGGGAAACCACACTTGGCACTTGTAGGTTGGCCTTAATACCTGGTCCCATGACCAGAAGTGGAACATGAGCGCTGGCTTCATACATACTCATTTTATAAAACTGCCGGTGTTCCATGGCCAGCTCACCATGGTCCGAAGTGTATATGACAATAGTTTTCCGAAGAAGATCTAGCTGGCGAAGCGCCAAAATAATTTTACCTACAATGAGATCAAGACAAAGCTCTTAATTAATTTTTAGTTCATAGCTTATCACATTAAGTTCATTAACAAGTCTACTTTTAAAAGTTTGTAAGGACGCTTCTTAACATCTGAACATTATCCAGAGCTTGATGTGCTTTGCTCCTCAGCTGACAGATTAAGAGGAAGGAGAAAATGTAACACCCACAGGAATCCTTGCTCAAAGCTTCTTTATGGAGAATCATGCTGCTTGCTTTCTGTTTCTGTCAGGAAATTTTATGGGGACAGGGTGGGCATCTGGCCCTTGGGCCTTGAATGTGAAAATAATGACAAGTCTGGCTGTCAGCACTGTATACAAAGACTGATATCATCACTCACCCACAAGTTCTGCACAGTAGGAAGTCGTAAGTGTGACCACAACTCCTTTTCCCTGCTACTTTTCCTCTTAAGCTTATAATAAAAATAAGTTCTGTTACTTAAGTACATTATAGATTTTACACATGGCCCAAGATGAAGCTTCTTGACCCAGTGCAGCTCAGGTAAGCCAAAAGGTTGGACACCCCTGCGTGGATTTAAGCAGTTGCCAGTTCAGGCTCAAGAGGTTGGCTGAGGGGTATGGGAATCCTACCTTGGAAGAATGGCTGGAGGAAGTAAAGATAGTCTACAAGTGTGATTTAGCGTATTTTTGGATAGGGAATAACTGGACACCAAAATCCCTCAGACCAGTCCCTCTGACCAGCCTTAGTGTGTGAATTTCCTCTTCGTTGTAATTAAGGAAATTATATGAGGCATGATCCAGAGACATATAGTCATTCCTGTTTGGTAGAGCCTGAAACTCGGTTCTAAGGTTTTATATTATTAAAAGCTCCACAGATTCTGAGGTTTAGTCAGAGTGAGACCCAGTGTTCCATGAAATTAAGACTCTCATGACCCTTCAACTGGACAACTAGCTGCTCCTTTACAAGTCTTGTCTCCACTCCTCACAAGACTCAATGAGTAAGCTTTACTCTCTCTTAAGAGTCTGAGGTGCCTTACAATTACCCATCCTGTGCACACCTGTGTTCAGTTGAATACTGACTCTTGTTTAAGGCTGGTAGAAAGTTCCGTTTCAAGCAGATGATAGCCTTCTGTGACCTTTGTGTATGAGCAAATCTGAGCATTTATGAACCTGAGAAAGAGCTTTTTATTCTATTATTAATGAATGTTATCCAATTTTTATATGTGTCAAGATGCCTGCAGTTCTAAGTCTAAAGTATCTAAGCAACTGTACTAAGAAATATCTGAAATGTTCAAGCAAATCCCAACCAGCATGATCACAGTTTGTTGGAAAAATATTACACTTTTTCTTCATTTAATTGCTTATAAATTATGCCACCTACCAAGCATGGCATCTGTCTCAGCACACATCGCATAATAAAAAGCTCTAATGTTCTTAATTTCTTTGTCTGTAAACTTCCCAGTGCAGTTTTTTGTATAAGAAGAATAATAATCTACAGGGTGCATTTCTGACAGAGGCAACCACTTGGGGATTTTGATGACATCAGGAGATACCTAAAAAGGGGAGAAAAATGTAGTTATGTTAGCAACATGGTAATATTCCTCTTTTCCAAGAAATACATATAATGAACTACACAATGTTTAATTACTTAGAATGGTAGAAAAGAATGATCAGAAAATGTGGAAAGAAAGTACATGAAATACCTAAAGTAGGAATGAATTGTTGATAAAGGTTGAATATCCTTTATTTGAAATATTTGGGACCAGAAGCTCTTGAGAGTTACTTAAGCATCCAGAGATACAATGGGGGTCTGACTTACTTTTCATTTGTATTATATGTGCAGAGAAGAAGGTAATTTTTTACACAATATTTTTAGTGCACCTGTGTTTTGACTGTGACCTTTTACATGAGGTCAGGTGAAGAGTTTTCACTTATAGTATCACCCTGATACTCAAAAATTTCATATTTTGGAGCATTTCAGATTTTGGAATTTTGGATAAGGATGTTCAACCTATATTCCAATAATAACAAAAAGTAAATACTAATATTTGCATATATACTAAGACAGTTGTGGGAAAATTATTTTAAATTATACATGTCAGTAAAAAATATGTGCTACACTAGACAATGCAGCATCCAGAAAAGTGTCCAACTATTTTATTATTATTATTATTACTATTATTATTATTATTATTATTATTGTTTTTTTGAGACAGGGTCTCTCTCTGTACTTCAAGCTGGCCTTGGACTCAGGGCTCCTAAGAAAATACCTTTCAGTTTCTCTTTTCACAGATGTACTATACATAGATATATTCAATTCAGAAACAGGCTTAACACATTAATTTTTATAAAACTGTTCTTGTTGTTTTGATCAAAGCAGTTACTGGCCCAGTTTATATGCACACTTTTCAAATTTTTCTTTAACAGTGATAATTAAATGAGGTAATACCAATAAATATATTAACTTTTACTTCTGAACACACAGAACATACTTACTGGTTCTTTTCATACTTACTTTTTTAAGCCAATAAAGAGATGTACGAAATGTTGAAGAGCCGAAGTTTTCTCCTGAGGATGGTGAAGGATAAGGGTGCGGCAAATTTAAACCCAAGTAGAGAACAAATGGTTTCGTGTCATTAATTCCTTCTGTTCTTAACCAATCAACCGTTGTGTCTATAATCTTCCAGTCCTTTTCCATCACTCTCACTTTATTCTTGTTGGGGATGAGGTCAGCCATCGGCCTGCCTTCTTGCCTGAGTGAAAAAGCAACGTCCCTTGTCCATGCTTCTACACGATTACTGAGGGAGTAAAAAGACAGGTATGTTGTAAGACATTTTTGAAGTTTAAATAACAGACTAATCATACACTTAGGAAAGCAACATGCAAAACACTGAGATTCACTCATGTAAATGTTCAGAAGAATTACACTGGAAAGTTATGAGGGCTGGAGATTTAGCTCAGTAGTAGAGCACTTGCCTAGTGTGCACAAGTTTGATCCCTGGCACTGAACAAAAAATTGAGCTATACAAATTAATAAAATATAGTAAAAAAAGAGTATTTCCTTATGTATTCTTTAAAACCATGATAGGTTACTTAGAATGGTTATCTTTTTCATATAGCAAGATACTTAACAAAAATGTTTCAGATCCCCACTGTTTTTCCTTATGCACTGGATTTTCTAGCATTTTTCTTTTTTGTTATCAGAAGACAGCATTTCTCTCCAAATCTGTGTAGCTTCTATCACAAAATCTTTATACTGTATTTTAAAAACCCTACCTACCCTATATACTTCATACCTTTGAAGTCTATGTTTTAATCTGTTGCCAGCTCTGGTTGTCTGTCTGCCTGCCTATCTGTCTATTTGTCTGTCTGTCTGTCTATCTATCTGAGACAGGATCTTATTATGTGATTCAGGCTAGTCTTGAACTCATGGTGATCTTCTTGCCTCAGCCTCCCAAATGCTGGAATTACAGGCATGTGCCACCACGCCTGGCCATTTTTTCTCATTAAAAGAACAATTTCAACCATGATCTGAGCTAAGCTAACAATGATGCAAGTTTCTTATCTAGTATAGAGAGGTGTTACTAGCTGATTTATAAATTACGATTTGGTAAATTTAATTTCTCTAAGTCCTTTGCTTATTTGATGTTGGATACATAGAGTGACATATTTGTTTAGGAAGCAGTCCCTGGCATTTTTAAGAAACTTGTTTCTATAAATTTCACTTGAAGTGCAATGTCCTATCAATTTAGAATACATTTTAAAAAATCTAAATACCAATGAACAAATAAAGAATATTTTATATTAAAAGTTAAGAGAAATTTAATCCATCCAAAATAACTAATGGTCCACAAAGAGTGAGGCAAAATGAAGGATTCTTCTTTTCTATCTGCCTGCTGAAGGGACGTAAAGAAACTGAAGCAGCAATAATAAAAATATTTTCCAATATATTTTGATGAAAATAAGGAAAACTAGAATTTTAGCAGAATTACATCCAAAAGATTCTAATTAATTCTAACAGATGGAAAACCCTAAAGTAGGAAATTTTGTGAAATTCACTACACTATCAAAACAATATTGCAACAGCAAGCAGAAACACCAAAACAACACCCAGGATTTAGAGGCAGATTTATATTACACTAATGGGCACCGACTGGGATGATTCCCAGAATATAAGGCCCTGATCTCTGGTGCTTAAGGTCTAGAGCTTATATGGGATAAGCAAGCAGGAAGCACAGAGGCAGAATGGCTTGTCAATTGGGGATTGGTTTATATAGTATACATCACAGTGACCAGCCGTTTCTAAGAGACAGAAGCAACTGGAACCGGAACAGGAACTGTTACCTGGGCAACTAACAAACTGAAGAATACTGGCTGGGGCGGCATCTCCTGCTACAATGACATTAGTTTCTCAGTCTTTTGCTTCAATATTGCTGAAATCTCACTGTATGTGACTATTAAAGTTGGGATTTCAGGGGTTTATAACACCAGCAGTATTTCAGGTAGAATTCAGGAGTTTAAGATAAGAATGATGGGCACATGGAGACTGACACCGGATGTACAGGAACCAAAGTGCTTCCTCTCAGCCTAGGAGTTTTATAGGTGCAAAAATATGGCTGTGAGATCATTACAAGAAGTGAGCTGGACCTACAACATAAGTAGCTGCCTGTCTTTGGATTAACTCAAGAGCAGATCATTGTCTTGAATGTGCTGACTGATGACCCAATGGATCCTGTGATGTAGTCAGGAGTGAATCTTTAGTTTTTTTTTTTTTTGTCTTTTTGAGACAGGGTCTTGCTGTGTATTTCAGGCTGGCCTTGAACTCCCAGCGATCCTCCTGCCTCAGCCTCCCAAGTGCTGGGACGACAGGTGTGTGCCACCACACCTGGCTAAGTGATCTAGACCAACTTGAGGGAAGTCCTTCCCGCTGTGCAGGATGGTGGTACTGAATGCATGTGGCTGTAACCTTCTGTCACAGCAACGAGTAAGTGTGATTTCACGGAACCTTTTTAATAAGTTTATGCCTCTCCCTATGCATTTACTCTCTATGTTGCTGAGATTCTTTTAACCCAGGTCACTTTGCAGGTGAAATGGCTCAACTCCAATTAATTTTGGCCTAGACTTAACATGATGGCTAGATTTCAAATATGGCTTTATTTCTGCCTGATGAATGACTTGTGATTTACTCCTCAGTAATACAAATAGAAAATAAAATCACCTGACACTTTATCAACTAATTATTGCAAAAATCTGCACATAAGTCATTGCCGTGTGGGTTTTCTGGGCCAGTGTGCCAAGTTCTGCTACAACACTGGATACAGTCCGTCCACAGGTAGCAAGGGATGAATTTGAAATGTAGCAGTTACATCTGTAATAAATCACACATTAAAATCGATTGTGAGGCCAGGCATGGTGGCGCCTGTAATCCTAGCACTTGGGAGGCTGAGGCAGGAGGATCGCTGTGAGTTCGAGACCAGCTTGGGCTACAAAGTGAGCTCAGGGCCAGCCTGAACTGCATAGTGAGACCTTGTCTCAAAAAGACAAAAACAAAACAAAACAAAATAAAGTTGATTGTGAGAAAATGACAGTTTTCTTTACACATGGAGCAGGAATCTAGATAAATCTTCAGCTTTCTAAGACTAACAAAGATAATTTAACTATCTCAGATTTTTGCAGTTCTGTGGAGATCTCGCCCACTCAAATTTCTGTACCAGCATAATAAATTCTGTAACAGAAAAAGGAATCCAGCCTCATGCCTATGGAATGTTTTCCCCTGAAAGTTACGAGAAACACATATACCTTTTAATTTACAAGACTGTTATCTGTCTTCCTTATATATGATCACTCACAGAAACAGTCTATTTTAATTGAATGAATCATACCAGTCCTGGCAAATTCAAGTTGGAACATTACTTTCCATTAACTAATATATGCTACTTAAATGTTCAACATATACAAGGACTAATCAAAACATAGCGTGTGTGTTTAAATTAAAAAAAATTCATCACCGTCTCCATCTGAGCCTACTAATCTTCTATAGAGTTCATCAAATCTAAAATGTTATTAGCTGTAAGATATACTTATTAAAAATGTATACCATCCGGAAGAAAGTATCGCCCATAAAACTATAACACAGTTTTAAGGTGCAAAAATAGGAGATACATGTCATTACACACAGCTAAGCTTTTGTTAAACTTTCGTAGTTAAATGGAATAAAATCCAAGAACTATATTCATGTGTAGGCTCAGAAGGATCGCTTGTGTATTGTGAGAACGTGACATAAGTAAGAGCTGCTGTAGACAGCAGTCTGAAGGTACTCAGGGACTGCTTTAGCTGAGAACTTGCTAGTCATTAGAAATGAGGGTTCCAGAGAACAAAAACCAAAACAAAAAAAAGACCTCAGACTTGTTCACTATCATAAAATGTTATGCTGAGGACGTACCAAGAATAACGTATGCTGGTCTAGATACGACATTTCAATAAAGATAATAAAGTGGAGAGTTCTAAAACAAGTAAAGCTGCCAAAATAAAGTGAGGAGTTCCAAACAAATAAAGCTACCCCAAAATAAAGCTGGCCAAAGCAATGACATCTTCCTTCATTGTAAGGACAAGAATGAAACAAACTCTTATTATGGAGAAAAACCACCGGAAGCTTGTAATACTTTAGATTATAAAATAATAATGAGACAGATGGGAACGGCCCTTAGGCTGCAGGGTGAGATGGCCGAGAGGGTTCTGAAGTCAGTGGTCCGTGTGCCGCTGGTCCCCTCTTCCTCACTCGGGTTGTGTGTGGGAAGCCACTGCTGCTTGGCCGGAGGCCTAGGAGGCAGTAAGAGTCCTGTGAGCAGCTCAGGGTTTGCTTATTTTTGCTGTTCACCAAGAGGTTCAAGCTTAATTTTGCCTGTAGCGATTCTCGCCTTCTGGAAGTAGGCCTTTATTTCTTACTTGTTTCACAGGATTCAAAATTGCCTGTCGTGACTTGGCTTAGAAAAACATCAAGCTCTGAGAGCAGAGAACATACATAATTATAATGGTGAGATGAAGTGACAGAGAACTTGATTTTAGGTTTAAACTTTCAGCTAGAAAAAAATAAGGCAGCAGTTTAAGTTCTCTTCTGATAGCATTAGAACGTAAGTCCATGACACTGGAGAATTTTGTGTTTTAATTAGTAAAATATACACTAAAAGAGTGTCTGGACCATTGTAGGCGGCCCAATAAATATTAGCTGAATGGACACTACAAATACCTGATTTTATTTTTGTAACTTAAGTAAGGATCATCTTTTAGTCTTAATATTTTAAGGAATACTACTTAATGTTAAATTTCCTTATCAAATTGTTCTAGTTTTAAGTTTTCTTCTAGATAAACTCAATTACCTTCTAATTCTACACACTTCTAAATAAACATTTTTTTCTTTGGCTTTGTTCTAAAAAATCGACGTATTAATGTCATATAGATCTGATTCTCCAGACTACGGAAGAATAAACTTAGGATCTAAAATGAAGGCCATTACTCTGTGTGAGGTTCCTAACACCATGCTGGTGAGTAGGTGATACCTGTCTCACACATGGTTTCTCACTGTGCACTTCTGACATTTTGGGCTTGGGAATTCTTTGTGGAGGAGGGAATTCTGTGCGTTGGAGGCTGTTAAGCAGCAACCCTGGCCTCCACCCATCCATGCTGGTGATCACAGTGGTGTAGACCAAAAATGTCCCCAGACATGGTCACATGAACTCTGGGAGGGCAAAACTGCCCTTGGCTGAGAGCCAGTCTTTTAGATATTGGGATTAAATTGGTA